GACAAATACATATTAACTATTACTCAAATTATTATTTCAGTTGTTCTTAATGTATCAAGCATCTATATGCAAAGAAAAGCCAAAAACTATGGTTTTTATCAATAAAAGATGCTTTGTGGGCTTTACGGCATAACTAGGTTTCATTTGCCGGAGCCCCTGAGCAGTTGCCCCCCCCCCCCTTGTCAGGCCTGATTTGTGATGAAAATCATGCTAGACTAGAGATATCTTTTTTATGCATTACTTTTCAATTTTACTGTATAGATTTACAACCCATGTAATGGAGTGAAATGGCATTTCAAATGTATAGGTTGTTTGCCACAAGTCTCTGTCCAGAAAACCTGCCATTCAGTACCATAACCCATCAGTTGGATTAGAATATGAAAGCCAAAAGACTGAAGTGTTATTTATATATATGTTTATGTGTGTAAATATGTGTACCTCAAATATATACACAAAAACAGGAAAGCATTCATTCAGAACAAAAAAACCCATACGAAAGAGAACAAGAACTACGTAACAACTTAGAAATGGATGCTTATTAGGAGTGATGTGTTTTGTTACAATTTAACTAAAAAGCTTTCTTATATCTTTATCATTTTCAAAGGTTTAAGCCATTTCCATTCAATGACAGCATTAAATAATTTAGATTTAATGCACTGTATTGCATCAGCAAAGTTAATTTATTCAGTTGTTACTAAAGTATATATATTTTATTTTAGTGAAATAGGTATTTAACAAGAAAGTTTCATTTTATTAATAGTATCTATCTAACTTCTGTATCCACAATGCATCATTTGCTGTACTGGAGAATGTTTTTAATATATCATGACGTTATAGCAGGAAAAGGTTTAACAGACCATATCAGCCTTAAAATAAGCTGGGTCTTCAGTCAAAAGTCAAATTATTACTCAACAGACACATAGCTTAAATGTTACATGTTTCAAAGTATTCATTTTCTGTATTGTTGGAAGGTGAATGCTTTGTTTCTGTGATAAATTATTGAAGATGATGGTGTTGTCATTTTCTGTTGTTGTTTTTTTACTAGGGTACTCTAATTAGGGTGTTTGACACTACAAAAAGAACCCAGTTAGTAGAGCTCAGGAGAGGAGCAGATCCTGCAACACTTTACTGGTAAAATTTGTTAAGAAATATTTATATTTAGGTGTAAGAAAAAGCATAAATAAAGTATTAGGTGTTTCTTAGCCCAACTTTACTGTCAAGTAGTCTGGCCTGATGAAGACCATTATAACCAAATGTTACTAATTTAGAAATTTATATTTAGTAACAATCAGTAATATTTATTTTTGGTGTTTGTATTATTATCTGTATTTTATGTCCTCATAGATACCAGTAATATAAGTATCTGAGTTTATTTACACAGTTTACAATGCTTTACCAATCGTGACAACAGATATTTTAAACAAAAAAAAATCAATGACTTAGCTTCTTTATATATTTACATACATACATATACATAGTATAGTTGAAATAAACAAGGAAAAACAGGAAGTGATTCATTCATACTGAAAACAAAACAGCTTGAGAAGGATGGTAAAATCCATCTGACATCTGGGAGAGAAGGTATATCAAGAGGAAGTAATTCATTCATTCTGAAAATAAACAGCTTGAGAAGGATGGTAAGATCCACTCGACATCTTGGAGAGAAGGTATATCAAGAGTGGACTCTCTTGTTACCAGTTGAGCTCAGCCGTGCAAGAGATTACTTAAATATAAGGAGAAATAAGCTCTCTCACCAATAATACTATGCAGCAATAACAGACATGCAGTACTATATACAATGTATATTTAAAATGTATGAATGTAAATGTAAAAGCATTTATACAAAAAAGTAGTGTTGCGTCAGCGAGGTCACGTGACTAGTATCACGCCACCCCTTTCTAGAAATATCCTGTTCCTTCAAGAATGCCCTAGCATTTACTAGATATGTATTAGTCTTGTATATATAAGACAGTTCACAACATGACGGAAACAGTGTAATGAGTAATTGAACTGCAGTCAGAGAGAATATTGTTAAGCACGTGAGAAGTT